TCGTTTTGTCTGATTTTCATAGCGTTCTTTACTTCAAATCAAATATATCTAATTTGTTTGGTTCATGGCTTATAACACTTTAACAAAACACTGATGGACTAATTTTCTAAAATTCCTTTTTTATTTTATCCATCTTAAAATTTATTGAGGACCACAATGGAAGCATTGTGCCCATCAGGGCTTTATTGTTTTTTTATTTCGAAATGTTTTGAAACAGTTTGTTTAAATCTGTCGAATAAAATTCAGTTTAAAATATTAAAATATTAATATTGAAATAGTAATATTAACTACTTTTCTAAAAAAAAAAAAAAAAATCCATTTTATCTATCTTAATTATCCATCTACATTATCTAGAACCCCAATGGAAACAAGCCCAGAGCTTTATTGTGTTTTTATACTCTATGGTTTTATTTTAAAATTATTTAAATAATTTATAAATCTGTCAAATAAAATTCAGTTCAATCATTATCAATATCTGAAAGTGCAGATTTACTTTAAAATGATTAATATGGGTGAATAAATGACTATATCATCTTTATGTATTTCCTATTAGGAGAGAAGCCCTATAAGTGCATGTGGGAAGGCTGTACATGGAAGTTCGCCCGCTCAGATGAGCTGACCCGCCACTATCGGAAACACACAGGTGTAAAGCCATTCCACTGCCCAGACTGTGACCGTACCTTCTCTCGCTCCGATCACCTCGCCCTCCACAAGAAGCGCCATCTTCTTGTCTGAACTCAAAACTGCAACACATGAATAGAGCAGAAATTGCAGCAGTTGCTCACCAGGACTTTTACCCTCAGTGGATGTTTTTGTGTATCCTTTTCCTTTCCTGTTCAGGACACTATTCATTTAGGAAGAAAAGTGGAAATGATGGATCATATGATGGATTTTACTATCCAAATGGACATTACTGTGGGTATCAAATATGGATAGTGCTTTGGATATGACCCTTGTATGTAAACCAAACTAAATTAAATGCCATCCATATTCAAAACAATAAGCACCTTTTCTCTCCATAAACGTCTTTCTGCCGTTCTGTGTTGCCCACTGCAGGTCAGAGGGCCCATTTACTACAAAAAAACAAAAAAAAAACAAGCAAAAATACACAAGCAGTATGTCAGTCACAAATACACACATACACAACAGTTTCACAGATGTAATATTGTTTTAGAAAGCAGCTCGGGTCAAACCTGCACAATGTGAATTTTTTTCCTTTATATTATTAATAAAAATGTAATGAGTATACACAGATCCTGTATATGTATTCAGCATGTGTTTCATGTTTCAGTGTAAAGACCAAAGCTGATTGTCTTATGCATCCTCATGTATATATATATATATATATATATATATATATATATATATATATATATATATATATATATACAATTTTTTTTATTTTTTTTGTGAAGATTGTTTGATTGGGTCGGTCAGTCGTTATACTTTGACTCTTAAGAGTTGAGTTGTGACTGAAAAAACTAAACATAAAAACTAAGTTTTTTGTTCCAAAAGTAGCTTTCGAGCACCTGACCTATTACAGAAATGGTTAAACAGTGGTATGTTTAATTAATTGTAAACATTAATTAACACCGTAGTTTACTACCGTAAGTACTATGTACTGTGTAAGTTCTTGCAACTACACACATGCACAATTTACTATTTAGTAATATAATTATGGTAATGATTTTACCCCCAAATACATTATAAAAATTTTTTTGTGAGAGGTCAAAATGGTGTCTTAAATGTTAATAGGCGGGTATTAAAACACATACAGTACATGTTAGTTGCAAGGACTTATAGAAAGTTTCATTTTATTTTAATCTCACCATTATTCATATTTGAATAACTTCTGTAATCATGAATATTCATATTATCCTAAATGTTATATTGTTTTATCAGTGTCTGAGGCTCAAAAGGGTTAATCGTTATTTCATTGAGGGGTTTTTAGGTGCAGAAAAATGTGAACCATTCAATAAGGGGCATTATTTTATTGCAGTGAGTTCATCTAGGTTATGGGTAGCGTCGTCTCTACTGCTAATACTATGTTTGTGAGGGAGATTTGCTTAATGATCGTGGAGACATACAGGGACAAGTGTACTCTTGTTTTTCTGTCTTGCAAATAATTTTTATGTGAACAAATGTTTGTTAAAGGGCAATGTGTAAATGGAAACAGTGCACTTTAAAATAGATTTAAAAAAGGGGCCATGAGTAGCTTGAAGCTTTTGGGCGATATCTCCATATTTTTTCTCTTTCTTCTAGTTGTTTGTAATAGACCAGTTTTCTGTTGTGCTCTTCTCATGTGAAGGACAATTTTAAAGAATATTTCAAAGGAGGAAAAGAACAAGGGCGAGTTTAAATAAGAAAGGAAAAAGTCCTTAAAGAAACATTTGCGATGAGTTAGAGAAAGAAATAAAGAGAAAAGGCATGAAGCTCTTGTTTTTTGGTCTAATGTATAAAACACAGCAAAGCTGTATTTAATAAAAGAAAGAAACTAATCAGATAGGATGATGGAAATATTAATATATATATTTTAGTGGAATAATATGACTGAATGGGCAATTTATAGAGAGCTTGATTCTGGTTTAACTTCAATCCCTAAAAATTAAACATTATGATAAAGATGTGAATCCTCTGTCTTTTCTATAAATGTACATGTATTTTCACAGTTCAAAGGGAATAGTATGCTTGTGTCATTATATAAACTGTGAATTTTAAATTGTTCAGACATTTTTTGTATTATATAGATTTAAATATGTATCACTCAATAAACTTTTTATGGTGAATATTTTGTATAAATGTGTTGTCATTGTGTTTTAATGTTTAATTCAGCATTAAAAGCAATCAGACATTTTTTTCTCACAATTGCTTGTTTTGACAATGGCAGAATGACAAAATATAAACTCTTAATTGCAGGAAAATATGCACAATTGTGAGAAATAAATCTGCAATGCTTGCAGTGTAAATTGTAAAGGTATGGAGTCAAAGAAAAGTCAAAACTGTAAAATATTCAGATAATTTTTGAATTGTTAAATTACATTCTGAAAATCACTGTTCTGAGTTAAAAAAAAATCTGAATTTGCAGAATTGAATCCTAGCCATTGCAAACAATATATAAAATAAACAGAAATAATAATAAAGTAGCAGCTTGAAAAAGAGAATTCTGAAATGTTAATAACAATTTTGAGGGGGGGGGCAGAACTGTTAGATATAAATCCAGAATTTCGACTTTTCTGTAATTGGGGGTATTGCCAATTCTGATAACTGGAGTTCTGAGGGAAAAATTAAATTTGAAATATAAAATTGTAAAAAATAAATAAATAAATAAACAAATAATAATAATAATAATAATAATAAGAAGAAGAAAAAATAAGAAATTAAATTTTGAAAAAAAGAAATGGAGAAACAAATCAGATATTTAACCTCTGGTTCCTTTTTACATTTCTGGGTTTCTCAGTAGTGGAGGTCATCATAGTTGGGTAAACTTTGAGCGCATGAATGGGAGAGTACAGAAAATATTTTTTTTACAGTTCCATTTGCTTAAAAAATAAAAGAAAAACTTCACGATGGTGTTATCAAGACTTTAGGAAAATAAATGTAAAAATAGTATGAGACTGATAATGGCAACCAGAAGAGATTTGATGCAATTTTTGCAGAGTTGATATAATGTGTTATAAATGTGGTATAAATGTGTTTTTTTTAATCAAAATGTTAAAAACTTTCAACAATTTAAGATTATGATAACCGTAAACGTGTGAAAAGGATCCATTGTGATAAAGACAAATTTAAAAATTCTGAGAAAATAGGTCTAAATTGCAAAAATTGTGAGAAACCCTATGAACCTGCAATTATAAGAAATAGTCTGATATAGCAATAAATGCAAAATGACTCAAAATTCAGACTTTTTTACTCTGAACTGTGAGTTCATAGTATCTCATGTCTCTTCTGAATTTGAACTTAAAACATCTCTAAATTGTATTTTTTTTTCTTTGATCCTCATTTCTATTATTTTTTTCTACACTGTAAAACCCAACAGTTAACTTATTAAATGAAATGAGTGTAATCAACTTTTTATCAAATGAAATGAGTGTAGTTAACTCAAACGTTACTGAAAGTTAATTCTACTCATTTAAAAAGAGTTTTGAATTCAGTGTTGAAGGTAATGAATTAATTAAATACCTCATTATTTCAACTTAAATGGAGTCAGTTCACAGTACTTGTATATATTAGTTTTTCAACTCAGATGGTTTGTTGCAATCAGTTTCCTCAAACTGTTTGAGTTGCCTTAAACTTGGGTTTTACAGTGTTCAAATTGCTTTGTGTACTCAGATGGATTAAGTTCACAGTACTCATTAGGATTAGCATTTGAACTTAAATGGTTTGTTGCAATTAGTTTTCTCAAATTGTTTGAGTTACCTTAATTTTTTTGCATTTTTACTGTTTTCTTAATATTGAAACAGCCGTACTACTTTTTAGTAGAGAAAAGAAGGGCTCGTCCGGGATTTGAACCCGGGACCTCTCGCACCCTAAGCGAGAATCATACCCCTAGACCAACGAGCCGACCGTGTAAGATGATCGGGTAAAAGACATGACGAAAGTTAAGGCAGACCACCGACGGACCCATATCAAATATTTACTCAGTATCAAACGATTAACAATGAAATATAAGTAGTTTGACAGGCATGTGAAAACTTGCTTTTAAAATGTGACAGTTATCTCATCCTTCACGTTATCAGATTTCCCTCTTTGAAAACCAACTCTAAACTTCAACGCCACCTTAAAAGCCGACTTCAACCATATAAATACCTCACTGTCTCTCTCAAAGAAGGGTTTTAGCCCCACGTGCAGCTGTGTGTAGCACTTTACTGTAGTACATACACGAAATGCGACTGTATTTTGTTCAGTATTTATCTTCTTGTCTCCTGAGTGCCAAAAGTTCAGCTGACGTCACCCGCCACCGCCGCACGCGACCCCGCTGCCGACGTGGCGCGAGCTCGAGCGGAAAGGGTAGCGGGAGCGCGACTGTCTGTCAGCACAACTGGTAAGAAGGGATGACCCCATCAATTTACTTCATTTACACAACAAATAATATATATATGTTGGTTTTGCATGCGTTTGTTTTGCACTTTAGCATTAAGACTGTCTTTACGGAGATTTTGTCGCGGTTGTTGCCATGTATTTGGATATAATTGTATTATTTGAGTCAAATTCGCCTTAACCGTCGCTTGTAAAGTGCTTGAAACGTATGTTTATTTATGTTTACAATGTTTAAATAAATAGTGTGCACTAAAACGAGAGATATATCTATATTAACGAATTAACGATTTGTATAAACATGGGCGTTTGGTTTTTTTATGGAAATACAGAACTTGAGACGTCATTACACTGCATTTATGTTACTGCATAGAAACGGTAAGATTTATAACCTGTTGTTTGTAATCTGCTTAAATTTATACATGGTGTATTTTACTTTACTGAACCATTGTTTACAAACTAAAGTTTGAATGAGGTTTCTACGTGTGGAAAATAACCACTAGATGGCGCCGCAATCCGCTTTAAACAAAGGCGCTTGACAGTGTGGCACCATTCAGGGACAGCGCGGCTCCAGCTGTAGGCCTATGTGTGAATGCTTTTCTTTCCACACACACCCACACAAGTACACATACTGTACATTGCATTCAATTCATTAGTCATAATTCCATGTGTAATACACTGTACATTAATAATAAGTCGTACGTGCAATGATAGTTTGTAAAACCAAATCCTAAATTGTGACCCTAGACAACAAAACCAGTCATCAGTGTTTTATTGTAGTGTTTTTTTAATTGAAGTTTACATTGGGATGGGATAATATTTAGCAGATTTACAACAAAAATTGCCTTTAAAGTTTTCTAAATTAATGACAATGCACATGGCTCTTTCAAAAATTGAGTTTTGATGTATTCACAGTTGGAAGTTTACTAATTATCTTAATGAAGCATGATCTTTACTTACTATTCAGATGATTTTTTGCATAAAAGAAAAATCGATCATTTTGACCCATACTAGGGCTGTATGACATTGTTTTAGTCTCGATATCGCAATGTGTGCATCTGCAGTAGTCACATTGCATAGACATGCAATGTTGAGTTGACTTTGTAGTTTAATTTTTTCATTTACATGTACAAAACCATAAAGCATGCATTGTTTATTTCACTTGTATCTTTGCTTTGTTGCATTTATCCTTGCTTGTAATTTGTTCAATAGAGGTAAAGTTGGTTTTATATTCAGATATTCAGACATACTCCTTAATAATATAATTTCAGAAAAGTATTCTTTGCAAATTCTTAATAGGGAAATCATATTAGCAGCAAATGACTATCAAAGCACAACATTGTTTACAATGAATTAGATAGTGTTAATGTTGTTTAGAAGTCATACTTGCATGGTAATTCCGATCGAATATTCAACGTAACATAGTAAACAATATAGAGACTGCTAAATGAACGAATGTGCGAATATAAAACCATTTTTACCTCTGTTTATTCATTAAATTTAATACATGTTTCACTGCCCTACAGAATTATCCCGATCAATCAAAATGAATACTTCTGCTAAAACTTTGGACCAATTCTTACTATTAATTAGTTGCTTGCATGCATGTTATTGAGATATTGGCTGCTTATTAGTACTTTTAAACTACATATTCTGTATGATCTTATTCTACATCCCCAATCCTACACAATAACTAAACTACTTTAATAACTATTTATAAGGATCAAATTGGGAGTTTATTATAGCAAAAGTCTGCACTCATTGAACCTTAAAATAAAGTGTGAACAAAAGTGCTATTTAATCGTTTGCTGGAATGCTATAGACAGATACAGTATATTGCAATATATTTTGCAGAAAAACAAAATATTGCAATGTCAGATGTTTCTAATATGGTGTAGCCCTAGCCCATAAAATGTATTTTTAATTCCTGCCAAAAATATATTTATGCAAAACTGATCTTGTAGTTCAGGGTCACATTTCACAACCATAAAACCCTAAACATAAAACAAACAAATTATAAGTGTACATGATTATGTACTGTACTGTATGTGTGTGTTCATATTAACACTGGCTGCATTTGCTGGCGAAAGCAGTATGTGATGAGTGTTAGAATTCATACCATACTTCATAAGAGGAATGACCAGGGTGATCTGCAGACATTCTGAAGTGTATTTCTAATAGACACCTCACTATCCTATGAGGTCCCGGGAGAGGATTTGTAAATGACAGTATAGTGATGCAACTGATGATGGTACAGTCGTTACAATCATGTATTCATATGCATGGTGGTCATAAAGTTCATGGAGGCCACACAATACGATCTTTCTTTTTGAAATAAGAATTCCATCTCATAATCCCAAAGGAATTCTAATGGAATTCCTGGCATAATTTGGAAGCAAACAACAACAAAACAAATTCCCCAAGAATCAATTACGATCCAATTAGATACACTGATGATGTGAACAAAAGGTTTAAAACAATTATTCTGAACATCGGTTATACAGAAACATCCTAGAAATGGCTTTTAATACTTTTAGCATAAGCTTGAAATGATTATAGACATGATGTTAGCAACCCATAATTTAATTTACCTTATTATACCCTCTCTCAAGTAATTTTAAACCTTTATAAGTTTTTTTATTCTGTGAACATATTCAAGAAAATATTTATCTTTTGGAAAATTAGTCATGTTTTCAACAAGTGAAGGGTGAAACAATGATAGAATTAAAATTTTTGGGTCAACTATCCCTTTGAATGCATTAACACCCAGTGTATTCTGTATGCACTACAAGCTAATTTATACAGATATCTGCATGTTTGAGAAATAGGCCCCTGAGCATCATTTATACGATTCTTTAACAAGTACATAATAATTTTTCTTTTTATTGTGCTTGTGTGTTTTTTTCTTATAATCTGTCATTATAATGGTTTCTGCAAGTCTTAATTCACACTTTCCACAGTTTAAGCAAGAGCAGAAAATCTAATTCATTGAACTGAGGGTTTTATTTGCTGCATTAACTACAAAAATGAATATATTTGACCATATTTCTGTTTTTAGTATAAATGTCTGAAAATCCCTAAATCAGATACACGTACACGAGGTGCAAATGAGAAAATTAAGTTTAATTTTCGGAGAAATTGAACAAAATGAAGAGAGTTGAAGCCATAATGAGAACAAATGTCTCACACAGGTGTATAAAAATTACTTTTCCATTTGAACTAAGTAGATTTTTTTACTGCTAACCGGTAAATATGTGTAGTATTGCTTTATAATAAACACTTCATTTTCATCAGTTTCAAAGAAACAACTTTTATTAATGTAATGAAACCTTTAGTGCTGGAAAACACGACAAAGAAGGAAAAGTAAAAGTTATTATTATGGTAGAAGAGTTTTTTCAAACACTAAGATGTGTTTTAAATGAATTAATAAGTAACAGGCATCCATATAAAGTTGTATTTTCAAACTTGGAAGGGTTTCTAATACAATTCATCTTCCTTCAATCAAAATCCTCTTTACATTATTTTAAAGTCCATATTTATTTTGCTGGTGCACAATGTTATTCTTTAGATCGGAGATGCCCAGAGTAGGGCCTTCGGGCCAAAGTTGGCCATTGTAACCTTTGAGTCGGTCCACCATCTCATCTGAAAAGACAGTGAGAATGATAGACTGGGTTGGGGTGAACGCATTTCACACAGAGATTGTCATTTCTAGTTTGACGTAACCTTTTTTCTTTGTTTTATTGCTGAGCTACAAAAAAGCAAACTGAAAATAAATGTTTCATTTAAATGTTGTAAATGAATCAGATTTTTTCAAAATGTAAATACTGTCACTCGACAGATGACTTTGCAGATAACATCAGCAAGGAATTCAAGGCAAAACATTTTGTAATTCTGTTATAAATGAGATTGTTTTTAATGTAATAAGTTCTTTATAAAATTTTAAAATTATGTATTACTTAATATAAAGCAATGTTTTCTAGTCATTTTTAAAATATTATTTAAAAAATGAGAAAATTATCCGTGGCAACTATATTTACCTTCTGCACACAATAGCCTCAGTCAGTTTGGTTTTGGCTCTACTCAAGAAAAAGTTTGGGCACCCCTGCTTTAGATAATTAATTAATTATGTGCAAGTTAATCCACAAGTTTTGTAAATATTGCAAGTTAATGAAAATTATTCTTTTTTCGGCAATCTTTATTCAAAATTTGACCATTTGCATTTGAAGTAGAGCTGCAACAAACAACTGTATTTATATTGATTAATTTATTGAGTAATTTATTGATTATTCCGCCTAATCTTAGGGATTAATTTTATTTTTACAATTATTACTTTGGAGTGGCCATCCTTCTTTGTTGACATCAGTTTGACAGTTTTCAAAGCAATATTTGTAACCATGCCCTTTTTACCATTAGTTTGCTATGAAAGAATGGTGTGCAAATAGAAAGCCACACCCCCTACCAAACATTCAGTTTTAGTTGAAAATACATCAACATACTGAATTATAACTCTCAGCTTCTTCAAGTTAATGTGGGCTTTAAATATATACTTTGAATTAGCTTTAATAAAATCTGCAGAAATCCTAAATATCCAAGTATTTTTCAACCCTTAGTCAGTTGGTTTTCTGTCAATCATCATCAGCTGCTTACATGCTCTTTTTTTTTACACTGTTTGTTTATCTGCTTTCCTCAGAGCACCATGTCGCAAGATGAGACTGTGGAAGACCTTGCTCTAAAATCTCCCCCTGCTGATGAAACTGCCCCCGTACCTGCAGTCAATACAGATGAAGTCCCCTCCTTATCACAACTGTCACTAGACACACAAGCCTCTGACTCAAGCAGTATGGCTGCAGAAGAGCACAGTACAGCCAAATATGTTAAAGAGAAGCAAGAACAGCTGCTAGAAGACAAACCAGAGGGTCAGGTGGCTGAATGTGTGGAGTCTGTGAGTTTGGACCCAGATGTTACTCAAGTAGAGGCTCAGGGACCTGAGGTATTTAAGTCGTCATAGTAATATTTAGCAGCATTATACAAAATTCTTAATTCAAATACCGTGTCTTACCTGGATATATGTTAATAGGCCGCAGATGAGTCTAAACCTAAAGGCTGGAGTAGTTGGGGATCCTGGGGGAAGACACTTCTGACCACTGCCACATCAACTGTGGGTAAGTGACCAAAGAATTCTGTGGGTCACCACAGATCTTTCTTTCTTTCTTTCTTTCTTTCTTTCTTTCTTTCTTTCTTTCTTTCTTTCTTTCTTTCTTTCTTTCTTTCTTTCTTTCTTTCTTTTTACAAAACAAAACAATTGGGACTGTAAATTAGGTAATTTGACACTCTTTTGTGTGCATTATGCCTTGCAAAGCAAACAAAACATTAAATAATGAATTTTCTTTTTGTCGTCTTTAGGTCAAGGGTTTAGCTCTGTGAAAGAGAAGGCAGGTGTGGCGTTGCGGATACGTCAGAGCTCAACATGTGAGGAGGCAGAGGAGGCCCATGAGCATTCTGGGACAGAGCAGGCAGAACACGCTCATGCAGAGGAGACGCACAGAGGAGTACTGTCAACCATCAGCAGCGCTGTTCACAACACTGTGAGCCTGCACACATACAGTATTACACACAGCTTTACCATCACTGAAAGGCAACAACATCAAACTCTCAACTTCATTCACTCAAGATATATTAATCTGTCATATCCACCATCATATTTATGTTCATACTAATTCATCCTTCTTGCTTTTTTTAGGGAAAGTCAGTAATAACTGGAGGTCTTGATGCTTTGGAGTTCATTGGAAAGAAGACCATGAATGTCTTAGCAGAGAGTGATCCAGGCTTTAAAAAGACTAAGATACTAATGCAAAGAACTGTCTCTCTGTCTCAGGTTAGATGCTCAGCAAATGATCAAATAACATTTTACACCATGATTACATGTCATGTGAAACACCAGGCTAATGCTAATTAATCATTAAAGGAACACTCAAATGACTTTTTCATACTTATTTTAAAATAGGCCCTTTTTTACAAGTTTGACCTTGAGTTTGACTATTGTGAATCTATTCAACCGATCTCCGGGTATGGCGGGAGTACTTTTAGCATAGCTTAGCATAAATCATTCAACTGGATTAGACCATTAGCATCTTGCTTATTAAAAGTTTCAATAATTAAGCTTGACCCCTCTGTATTTACATAATGTATCATATCGACGGAAAATTAAAAGTCACTATTTTCTTGGTTGATATTGCTTGGAACTATACTCTCAGTTCAGCGTAATAATCAAGGAAAGGCACAATGATAACAACAATATTTAAATTCATCTGTATAACTCTAAGGCAGGGGTTCCCAAACTTTTCAGCCCGCGACCCCCAAAATAACAATGCCAGTGACTCGCGACCCCCAATATCCTCTCAGGTGGTTATAAATACAGAAACCTTGCATGCAATGACGCAGACACACCAATTACATTTTTTAACGTGTGTCAGGGCTTTTAATGTGCCAGAAAGTATAACCTGATGTTATAAAATCAAAATGCATCTGACGCTATTGCTGCCTTTAATATAATGTAATTAACCCAGAGGTCGCAATCCAATAGAACTAATAACTACAGTATAAGCTACTATAGTAACTATATAGTATATAGTAACTATAAACGACTATTTTTATTTTCAGTATAGTTATGGATAAAATATGTTAATTCTTATGTTGATAAGACTGGCACTTACTGTGTCTGATCTATGTGCTTTTGCTGTGTTGTCTGCAGATGTTAAAAGAAGCGAAGGAGAAGGAGAGAGCGAGACTGAGCAGTCAGATGGTCACAGAACCAACCGCACACTATGGAATCTTGTTTGATGATTACCAAGGCTTGTCTCATCTCGAGGCGCTGGAGATACTCTCCATTGAGAGTGAAGGGAGGGTAGGTATTACACACCACCAACATTCAACCACCCATAATATCTTTTACCACCAAGAAACAAGCAAAAAATGCAGTATTGTCATCAGAAATTAATCTCTAGCCAATATTTTTTTCCTTGTATTTTTGCTCATTATCCAGCAAAATAAACCCTTGTTAAGTTGATTGTTTCTACATAAAGAGGTTTATTTTGCATTAGCTGTCAGCTGACTGATCAGGTATTCCACAATTACAGTAGCAACTCATCAAACTAATGAATTAAATGGATGTAAAATAGTAATCTGAGTTTAGATAAATGTGTTAAGTGTAAAGAATGAAACAGCAGAGTGATAACATAAAGTTACATTAGCATGCACTACCATTTGTTTTTTGTCGGAAATTATTATTTTAGTATGCATTAAACTGGCCATAGGTATCAGAAAAGATTTTTAACATTGTTATTTCTATTATATGTTGCTCTTATGAGCATAATATATATCAGAGAATCTTAATATAATAGATATAAACAGCAATCGTAAACAAATAAGCAGCAAATCCACATTTAAAAGGGTTTTGTGATTTGCATTGCAATGAATGTCTTCAGTTTTACTCTTTACTATAGTTTGTATCAAATAAATACAGCATATCTAATAAGTTAGCCATGAAAGGCCTTATTTTCTTTTATTGTGTTACTGTTTTCATTTCAGGTGCAGGAATTCTTATGCTCTTTGGAAGAGGAGGATTTAGAAGTTCTGAAGAAGGATCTGATTGCGATTAAAGAGATCTTCATCAGTCGTGAGGAGAAGGAACCTGAGGCCGCCTCAGGGGAAAATGGTGATCTTTATTCACAAATTCAGTGTTCCACCCCTCTCTGTGAGTCTTCAAAAGCCAAAACACGAGTCAAGGCCAAATCACATTTTGATGTGATCAAATCCTGCACACAATCAAGATCATGTGCTTGATTAATCTGTATTAAAATTCCTGAATGATTTTGTATTAATCATATTACAACATCACATTCAGTTATTGTATTTAAAAACTAATCTTAGTCAAAGGGATAGTTCACCCAAAATAAAATATGTAATTATTTGCACATTAAATATACACATTAAAACAGCAGTTGATTTTCATAGCATTTTTGAGTTCTGTTTTGGATCTCAATGACTGCTTCTTTCAATATTCTTCAGAATGTCTTGTTTTGTTCTGAGTAGAAGAAATAAATAGAAATACATTTTTAAAAGACCAGAACCACTTGAGTGTGAGTAAATGGTGAAGAAAAAAGCCTACACGATTAATCGATTTGAAACTTATTTTTTGTTTTTTGAATTTGCGATTTGAAAAGGTGCGATTTTTCAAATTACAAAAGCTGTAAATATTTTGATTAATGCTTTGGCAAGGGAGGCGAGCACGAGTAATTAAAACGATCCAACTAACCTTACTTAAAGGCTAGGCTAAATTGTCCATAGTGTATGAATGTGAATGAGTGTGTATGGATGTTTCCCAGAGATGAGTTGCGGCTGGAAGGGCATCCGCTGCATGAAACATGTGCTGGATAAGTTGGTGGTTCATTCCGCTGTGGTGACCCCGGATTAATAAAGGGACTAAGCCGAAAAGAAAATGAAGAATGAATGAGTGAAGGAATGAGATGCATAATAAACAAAAATATTGTCTTTAAAAGTAACAGAAACATCTTGTATATTATAATTAATAAATGAGCCAATATGTTGACTGTAAAATTAGCCAACTGTGGCCGTTTATCTGTATCCATGTCACTCATTGGTGAACAACCCCCGAGCCGCCCTAACCAGTCGCAGCCCTTTCTGTTGTGTGCCTTAACACAATGACTGATTGCAGGTATTTAAAAACTCGTTCGGCATTGTTCAAAAAGCAAGCGGGACTATATTTTCATTTGCTATACATTGCTATAAATACTCATGTTGTTCTGTGCATGCACTTGAGTTTTGTTTGATGCATTCAAAGAGTGTTTTCTTTGAGCAGGTCGAATTAAAGTTACAGTTCATTTATCTGACTGCCGTATTAAAGGACAAAATTTTATTACAAATAATACATAAATATAACTTCATTCATTTTCTTTTCGGCTTAGACCCTTTATTAATCTGTGGTCGCCACAGTGGAATGACCTGCCAACTTATCCAGCAATTGTTTTATGCAGCAGATGCCCTTCCAGCCACAACCCAACACTGGGAAACACCTATACAGTCTTGCATTCACACACATTTACACTGCTGCCAATTTAGCTTTTTCAATTCACCTATAGCGCATGTATTTGGAAACCGGAAAAAACTCACGTGAACATAAATATAAATATGTTTTTACAAATACTATATTTTAATTCAAGAATTCTTGTGCTGTGGATTAAAATCTAAAATTGTGGATGGAATATGAAAAACGTAACAATCTGAATGTAAAGGTTTTATATATGATAAGATGTTATATACAATTTATTTATTTGATTTTAAATCATTAAATTGTAATTATTTTCTTAATTTGTCATGACAACTGATAACTTTATTGAAAAAAAAAAAAGGTTTTAAATAAACAGAAGCAAAGTGTAGCATACTTTGTGATTATTCTTGGTCGTCACATCAGACCTGTCGCTCTTTTATGAAGTTATAGTAAATCGCAAATCAAAATTTTGAATTTTGCAATTTTCTCCAAATCGTGTAGCCCTATAAAACTGTTCCTTTTTGGGTGAATTATTCCTTTAAAATGAGCAGTTATATAATCTACATACAGTTGAAGTCAATGTTATCATTATCCCTCCTGTGATAATATTTGTGATAATATTCCATTTTGTTTTCCAAATATTTCCCAAGTGATGTTTAACAGACAAAGAAACATTTCACAGTATTTCCTATAATATTTTTTCTAGAAAAAAGTTTTCTTTCTTTTAGCATGGCTGAAATAAAAGCAGGTTTTGCATTTTCTGAAAATGTTTAAAGGTATTAAATGTTAATATTATTATGTCAGTATTATTAGCCCCCTTAACAAATGTTTTTTTTTAATTGTCTACAGAACAAGCCACTGTTATCTAATAAATCACCTAATTATCTTTACTTGCCTTGTTAACAGAATAACTTAAGTCTTTAAATTACACTTTAAGCTGAATAATAGCATCTTGCAAAAGAAGCAGAAAAATATTTTGCCCTGTCATGATGGCAAAAAAAGTTATTATAAATTAGTTATTAAAAGTATTATGTTTAAAATTCTCTCTGTTAAACAACTATTGGGAAATATTTTTAAAAGAAAAAATAACAGAAGGGCAAATAATTTTGGCTTCGACTATAATTATTAAGCCTGTGAAATGATAATATAGTCTGTAATTCTGCTTTGAATCACTATGCTACAAGCCCAATATTGGCGAATTTCAATGAACAAACATTGATCTGATATGACAAGCGACTCAGTCAGAACGTTATAAATATTTCAGTCCTCCCCATTTTTGCTCTTGGCCATAAAATTCATGTGATCTGTGTGTTTCAGCTGCTGATGGAGAGGAGTTTGTCAGTGTTCTTACCGAACTACTCTTTGAGCTCCATGTTGCCGCAACTCCAGACAAGCTGAACAAAGTATGGTCACACTTTCAAACACATTCATGTATATCCACTGTCAATGCAAATGTGTACTTTCTCTACCTTTCTAACACACAGACACACATGTTATTCACAAGCTACAACTCAAATCATACCATGTGCCCTGCAGGCCCGTATTAAAGCTCATGACTGGGTGCAAGAAGTGGAGAAGTCTCAGGAAGCTGTCAAGAGTGTAACGGATGAAGCTTGCCCTGCTCCAGAAAAGGAGGGACCAACAGATGAAAAGAAAGAGAAAGTTGAAGTGGGAGACAATGAGGAAAGTAATGCAAAGGATGTAAAAACAGATGCTGTTGAGGTGAGATGTGTTGTTGTGTTATATATTTAGACTGCTCAGCAAATATGAGTACACCTCATTTTGAAAATAAACATTTTTATCCATTTCTCAGTGAATATGAGTACTCTATATCTGTGAATTTGAACAAAATAGATTTATTAAACGGGTATATTTATTAAAAAAATATTTTAGTCAAAGAAAATCTTAAGGAATAGAAAGATACATTTAAATTCATGCTAAATATTGCAAAAAATTTACAAACTACATTTCAACAAAATAGTATTACTTTTTTGATTGTCTTGATTTTTAAAAATTGTATTTAATGTTTTATAAATTATATATCAGGTCAGGTGATAAATATATACATTTGGGCTACTAATTTTTGAACCGTTATTGTAAGTTATTTTGTTAGATAAGCTCCAGATTTGGTCAGTACTGACTAATGTATATGCACAAAAATAATATTGCAAAGCATCATACAGAAAATATTATTTTAAATGAGAGATTTGGGGAGGTGTACTCGTATATGCGGAGCACTTTATATCATGACAAGAATGAAAATAGTTTTAGCGTATTAATGAATATGTGTCAATGTATTTGGTCTTGGCAGACTAAATAGGTGTCAGTAGGTGTATAGACACACTAGCTACAGTATGTTTCCATCGATCTATTTTATGCGCATTTTGGAATATTTGAAAAAAAAAATGCTTTGGAAGTGACTTTTTTATTCTCTTTGACATATTTGATAGAAATGCTGCTTAATTAGCAAATGTCTGTACCATTTACTTACACTCAAGTGGTTGTAAACCTTTATGAAATCATTTGTTTGACACAACTCTAAAAAATGTTGGAAGAAAGCAGCAATTGACTTCCATCAAAAATACAACAGAAGTCAATGGCTGCTGCTTCACAGAATTATTTAATATATCTTCCTTTTTATTGGACAGATGAAGAAAAAAGCTCAAACAGGCTTGGAACAAGTGGAGTAAAGGATTTTTGGTTGAACTATAATAACTGGAATTAGATTTTTTTTTCGAGGATTGTTTGATAAGTAGAATGTAATGTAATGTAATGTAATATAATGTGTATTTATATAGCGCATTTATTGTGTATGGCCATACACCCAAACCGCTTCACAGTCATGAGGGGGGGTCTCTCCACACCACCACCAGTGTGCAGCATCCACTTGGATGATGCGACGGCTGCCACAGGACAACGGCGCCAGTGCGCTTACCACACACCAGCTGTTGGTGGAGTGGAGAGACAGTGATAGAGCCAATTCGGTGGAAGGGGATGATTGGGAGGCCATGGTCCTAAGGGCCGATAGAGGGACTTTAGCCAAGACACCAGGGTTACACCCCTGCTCTTTCACGAGAAGTGCCATGGGATTTTTAATGACTACAGAGAGTCAGGACATCGGTTTAACATCTCATCCGAAAGACGGCGCCCACTGACAGTGTAGTGTCCCCTTCACTTTTACTGGGGCATTAGGACTCACACAGACCACAGGTTGAGCGCCCCCTGCTGGCCTCACTAACACCACTTCCAACAGCAAACTAGTGTTCCCTAGTGGTCTCCCATCCAGGTACTGACCAGGCTCAGCCCTGCTTAGCTTCAGTGAGTAACCGGTCTTGGGCTGCAGGGTGACATGGCTGTGACTATTGAATATTGAATTGCATTTATTAATAGTATTTCACAGATAAACATCTTTACTGTCAGTTTTGATCAAGTGATTGCATCCTTGCTGAAAAAGTATTAATGTCTTGCAAAGAAAATGCATTAAATGTATACAACTTTCTTTGTTTGTTTGTTTGTTTGTAGAAGGTGTATCTGTCATCAGTAGGCAGCCTTGCAGAAGTGACTGCTCGCAGTATAGAGCAGCTGCATAAGGTGGCTGAGCTGATTTTACATGGACAAGAGCTGGAGAAGCCAGCCTGCCAACAGGCCAGCATCCTGGTCAGGTGAGTTCCTCATCCATTTTCATAAGATATTATTAGACTGCATTAGGGAATTCAAATCATTCTCTGTTTATTGACTGTTTTTTATGCTCAGGCTAACCAGTGCCATGTGTAAGGAGGTCAGATGCCTGGCCCGAAAGTTCTCAGATACATTACTGGCAGTAGGGGTGAGTCTACCTGAGCTTAATTTTATTCAAAAACTTGCCTTGTTTACTTTCTTAATGTGTTTATGTGATTTTAAAGGCATAGTTCACCCCAAACTGAAGATGTACACACTATTTACTTGGTTTCAAAGCTTTTTGAATTTCTTTTTTTCTACTGAATACAAAATAAGATATTTGGTAAAATGTTGAAACCTGTAACCATTGACTTCCATAGAAAAACAAATGCCATGGAAGTTAATGGTTGCAGGTTTTCAGCATTTTTCAGAATATATTTTTTTGTGTCCAGCAAAAGAAAGAAACTCAAAGATTTTTTATGACAAGTGAAGAAGGATAAATGATGACCAAGTTATAAATGTTCTCCCATTCATCGGTGGATGATATTGCATAGAAAACAAACATTTGTTTTTGTCTAAAACTAAATGTAAAGACTAAATAGCTCAGCCTCTGACTTTTTTTAACATGATATCACTTTGTCTTAATTTTGCGCTCTTCTCCTCTAACCACCTATCACAGAGATAGATTATGGTGGTGATCAAACCACTTCATTGAGGACAGCAGGGTTCCATTTAAAACCAAATGAAAAACACATGAACCAGCTAATCAAAAGGTTACTAGAACATGGATGTGTGCTGCACTCTATAGCAATATTTATTTTGTGAACATGTTTCTACTATGACAAAATTAACAACAGATAACAAAAGATGGATTTGATTTAACAATGTTTTACAACAATAGGAACATGACTATTGCGTTTGTGTGTGTTTTTAAATTTATTGTAGTATTGCATGCATTTGCAATTCCAACACATACACTCAACTTTTTTTACAAGTTATGCTCAGGTTCATTCATATGCGCTACATAAAACATTGGTCAGTGTTTCATCATTATTGCTAACAAGCACAGTTAAAAAATGATCAATTGATAGTTTAAGCCTCTGGAGTCCATTCACCATTTTTTGGTTGTACTAATAAGACAAACACATATTTGAAATCTGTAAATTTTCACTTTTTATTTGTGTATATTCATAATTATAACAAACAAAATATATTTTTGTAAAGTTAATAAAACAGACACAGAGTGCTTTCTCTTTCTGTGCCTTCTGTCAGCATGGCAAATGTGTGAATTCAGAGATTCGGTAGCTGACAAACAGACATTTGCCTTACATTTTTAAACGAGCCAACTCATTTTGAAAACAAATGTTCTCTGGTTTAGTGATCCGTATGGAAGGAACGCAATGCAATAATACATAACACACAAAGAGGTCAATATCTGCTGAACTAAATAAAAAAACACACAAATGAAATAAAAGGATTTAGTTATTTTAATATTCGTTAATATTGAAAAGCAACCATGCAGGTGAGATGAGCATAAATACAAGAAAAGACAAGAACCAACAAAACAAAACACTGGGCTACTTGTACACAATGGTCAACATGCAGTGCAACATGCATTGAAATTAGCAACTAACATTACGTTGCCGCAGTAAATGTGAAAACACTAGTAGATTGTTCTAGAAGGATTGTCCAGAAATGTTTTTATTCTTAGTTTTCCTTAATAAATGTATATAAAAAGTAAGGTTTTTGATCTAAAGTTTATAATTAACATTCTTCTTCTTTTTTCTCTCCACAGAGTCAAAGAAAAGCAGAAGAAGTAAATCCTCTAGTGGACAGTGTGATGCTTGAGGTAAAACTGAATGTGATTTTAGGCATAATTTAATTAGTCGTTTATTTATATAGCACATCAACATGGCATTGCCCAAAGTACTGAACACAATCAACACTAATTAAAATGACAAATCACACAACACATTAATAAATGATCTGAAACTATTCAGAGGGAACAAATGCTCCGAAAAGAAGATGCAATCTCAGAATATTCTTAAAAAACATGTCTGATCATCAGCTTGTCTGATGTGAGGCACAGCTCTGCTCAACAAATGCTCCTCGTTTGACTACAGGGGATTTGATGGTGATGATTATAATGACTGTAGTTAGGATAATGTCGACCCTTCATCACTCTGCTGTGTGTCTTGTTCCCCAGGGTTCTAACAGCACTACCTACATCCACAATGCCTTTCAGCTGCTGCTGCCAGTTCTTCAGATCTCGCACATCCAGACCAGCAGAACTGCAGTCAAGCCAGACCCACAACCAGCATCTGCAGAATAGTGCCCTTTATTCTGTCCTCGTGTGTGTGTCTGTCTGTGTTTGTCTGTATTTAGGTACTGTATGTTGCTTCACTATGAGAGCTGATGCCAAAAAAAGTGCAATTCTAGTCTATATATAGACTCTTACAACGAGATAATTAAGAAAATACAAAGGAAACTCCTAACTTATTTAGGAAGCTGCTTATGTATCATTTATCGTGATACTATATTCGTTTATATCCGTTACTCTACCAAAAAGGAAGATTATTAATCAAGTGTTGTAAAACCAGAGCAGGTTTGAACTGTTATTCACATAAATTAATCAATCACTCATGTACATTTACCAGTCTTTATTTTTAATGACATGAACCATGAACATAAACTGTAATATAAATGATATGAAACTAAAGACTGAAATATTCTAAGTGGGTTTTTTTTCAGTATGTTATGAAAAAATGATTTACTACAGGTCTCAGAACATTCCATTTTGTTCACTGAATACTGAAAAGGCAAAGACGATGGTATGTTTTAAGATGAAGTCAATATCAAAGCTGGAAGATGGAAAGTGCTTTTAGGAAAAAAATAAATAGCATTTTTAATAGCCACAAGAGCTTTAAACTGGTGTTATAAAATTAGGAAATCACATTAGTGCAGCCGTATTGGTAGTTAAATAGATATTAGAGAACCATGCAGCATGCTTAATGTTTTCAGCCTAGTTGTAGAAATGCTCTCTCTCGTTTCATTGAGCAAATAGGGCCACATAACACCATAGTCTTGTAAGGGAGAGTTCACCTAAAAAGCTGTTCATTTAAAATGGCAAGGCCTTACAAGATTAATTTGGTTCAGCAGAACATTAAGGAAGATTTACATGTGTTGCTTATACTGTGATCCTTGTTGTTTCATTAAATGCAAGTCAATGTTTACAAGAGCTTAATGGTATAAAAAATAAAAAGGTGTTATGATGCACTATTAATTATTCACAGCGTTGTTACATTTTTAATCCACAGCGTTTACAAACGTGTTCATAAAGTAACTGCATATTTAAATTTTTAGGTAAACTTTTCTTAGCTTTTAACACAATAGAAAAAAAAACGGTATTAGAAATTGGAAAATTTGAAGTTACAACCAGAAAAACAATCATTCTGCTAATGTTATGGACAATAGATATGCTCAATAAAGCAGTTTCATTTAAAAATTGAACAGTACACTGAACTGAACGGAAAGTGGTGTAACCATATTTCACAAAATTGAAAGATTTTGGTTCCTTCACATTCAAATTCACTTTTTCCAACAGGACTTGAAGTTGAGCATGCCTGAATGCCACTACAAGTTACAATTTAAAGTGGGAAACTCTTTTAAGAAGCTCTAAGGGATTTTCAGAAGGGATTTAGTTTCCAAGTTTATATGTGCCTGTTGGAAAACTTGTCAGACACAAGAAAGAAACATCTGTATTAACAGTAAATTTGTCAGAAATGTTACATAATTGCTTTTTAAAATGTTAACTTATTAAAAACAGCTTCTCCCACTTTTGTTTTATATTACACTCCATATACGACAATTTGGCCAGAACAAGCACTTGCCTATTGATTTCTCAAGATCTCTCAGAAAATCACAACATGGCTTCAGATGAAAAACTATAATGGAGGACGGTCCCTTTGGATATGTATATATATTGATTTGGTTGCAATAAAAATATTAGAAAGCAAAAAACAATAAATAAATAAATTGCTTAAATTGTCATAGCTGCCACTTTGTCTGAACATTTTTAGTGACGTTTGTGGTGGCCATGTTTCAGCTATAATCATGAAACATCCATTAAGTAAAGTTTGGAGATAGTTTGATCAAGAGTCATTATGATCACACGATTGAGGAGTTCTGGCAAAATGTCGGTTGCCAAAAGCATTGAAAGAGACCTATTATGTCCCTTTATACAAGATGTAAAATATGTGTCTAGTGTCAAAACAGTGTTTATAAAGTTTCAGCTCATAATACCACACATATCTTTTTTTATAACTCTTTAAAATTCTCCCTTAATTAGGCTTTGATCCAAATTGTGCCTTTAGGTGACTTTCACTTTAAATTCAGTTAAGAATAGCCCCTTTTACGCATACAGACCTTTCCGGAAAATTACTGGAAATCAGACATTTACTCCAGCCAATCAGAACATTCAGGCATTCACATCTGTGCTGTTTTTGAAAATAAAAGTCTTTTAATATTTTTCCAGACACTTTCAGCCACTAGATGTTAGTCGGGTAACGTTTGTGTGTTCCTTCTTAATGCCAACTGTGTAAAAAATATTGATAAAATGCTTATGATAAACCTCTGTTTGTTTCCTGTCAAGCTCTGCTTCAGTTGTTTGACGCGTGTGCTAGTAAAGTCAAAGAGCTTAGAATCAACAAGAGGCGGCACTTAATAGAACATTCCATTGCAACAGCAGCGCCCAGCAACAGCCCCGCAATTCCGCCATTTTGGAGTGAAAGCGATTGGCCATTCATTGGGTCTTATTTCTGTTTTGATGGCAAGCAGCTGCTTAGTTTTTTATTTATTTATTTATTTAAAAAGCGCATTAAATCTGAGATACAACCTTGAAAGACAACAATATGACACATACTTTCACAATCATCAGCACTTTTAACAGTTTTTTTTTCAGACTTATAATATGCTGTTGTTCTATTGGAGTTTTCATTCCAAAATGGCTGTTGCCTAAAACTAGCGGTATCTAGTGGCTGTTTCCCGAATTGCACTAGAGTGTTGCCTCTTGGTGATTCTATGCTTTTTGGTGAAGTAGTGCTCCATTGAGCGCCAGCACACATATTATGTACATCTTGACATGATTTCTCCCTATGTTTTTCTCAAAGTTGTTAACAAAACTTATCCATCCACAGAATTTGTAATGTCGTCAAACGTGTAAACATTGAGCTGCAGTCCGCGCTTCTGCCTAGTTGCATGAATGCTAAAGTTTAAATAAAAGTGTAACCATCAACAAAAGCCCGACCCCTTCTATGTTTATGAATACAATCGCAGCCGTTTAGAGCTAATTTCTGGTTAATGATATCAGAATTTACCAGTTATTTGGAATAGATGTGTGAATAGCCTTTTCTGGAAAAATTCCAGAACATTATTGCCTGTGTGAACAGCGCTTCTTTCAATTTTCCGGTAAAGTTGTTTCGGTAATTTTACGCATATTTACTGGTATCTGTGAAAGGGGCTATTGTGACCCAGTCCTATTTTCAAAAGCACAACGTTCAGAACTGTAATTGCTGCTTCTCAGTTAAGACTGTCTATGCTAATGAGAAAGAGATAATCTATGGGCGGGGCTTTCCCAGTTCCATGGGATGTACAAAGGGAGAATGTCAATCAAGGTGTTTCTACGTATTGTTTTTAAGAAGCGTGATTTTACATAATTGTATTAATTAGTTAATATATTATATATAACATAGCTTTATTCACATACTGCTGCCACACAACCATGTTTAAACTCATTATAAAATAGTTTTTTTGCATAATAAGTCCCCATATTATTTGCCAGCATTTGCCACCTTTCTTCACACCGCCATATAGGTATCTATATATAGATGCCACATTCGACAGCTTCAAACATTTCACCAAGTCGGCCATCTTGAAATGTCATCACTGATTATTTATATCCCTTTAACAGGTGAGAATGTGTTGGTTTATATGTTTTGTTTTAATTTTACAGGTTTCTTTTTTAAACTATCTAATATCTGTTGGTTGTTAAATCATCCCTGAGGTTTTCTTCAGATAATGATATTCACTTGTACTGTATAACTGCTTAAAAACATGAAGTAAACTTGGTCCTGAGACTTCTCTTGCTGACTTTGACCAGGATGTTAGACAGCTTACATAAAGCGTACATTGATGCATTATTTACATTGGATCTTTTCTTGGTCTGCAGTGTCTGATATGAACAGGGAAGACATTTAAAAAAAAATGTCAATCTTGCCTTGCTTCAGCTTGACAGGTACATTTTTAAGCACTTGCTTGTTCACTGTGGTTACCTCCGAGGTGGATATTTGACTGTAATACTGCAGTTGCCTTTGTTGTGTAAGAAATAAATCACTTTTTAAAAATAATAATAAAGTGCTTTTGCTGCTTCTCATGTCTTTAAAGGCTTTAAGCATCTTCTTCATGACTGGAGCAGGAAAAGTTGCTTCGATGATGCAGGTAGTCTAGAGAAAGAAAAATGTTGTTAAATGACATGAATGACATATCACCCAAAAATTAACATTTAGAGAAGAGCGGAGACAAAAGTAACGTGGGACGAAAGTAGTATTTTTATTCATTTATTTTATGATGCCCGGACAGCATTTGCTTTCCAGCCTATAACAGTACATTCAGCATGCAACTCTTGATAGAACTGCAAAATACCACCAGATTTTGAGAATGCGTTTTAAGACCAACATTCTACTTTTTTTCTTGGTGGAAAGAGAAGACCTTAGTTTAGCCAATGATGTGCTTTGGTTAAGTCGCAAGAGGTGTAGTGTTTATCTGTGAAGCAATTTTTGACAGACTGGTGTTTATTGTGAGTAGTTGCTGAATGCAAATGAAAACGTCAATAAAACAAAGGATCGACTCATGTCCGATCTGCAAAAAGATCTGAGACATCACCTCCCATAAGTTATGATGATATATAAGACATATTTCAAAAAAGTTTTTTATCAAATTAGTTTTCTGTAAATCGATCAAATGTATGTGTTGCCAAATGTGCAATAGTGGAATGTGCAATATTGCAATGGGTTAGCTAGCTAGCCAGGTCAGCTGTTATCTTTTAAGTTGTATGAATAACAACATGAATGCTAGTAGTATAATGTTGATTAGTCATATGTTAATGGCATTTGCATTATGGATAAAATTATTAAAAATAAAATTATTAGCCCCCTTTTGATTTTTTTTTCCCTTTTTTTTAATATTTCCCAAATGATGTTTAACAGAAGAAGAAATTTTTCACAGTATGTCTGATAATATTTTTTCTTCTGGAGAAAGTCTTATTAGGGACCGAGCACCGAAACGGTGCGTAGGCCCTATTGGAATTGCTCCGTTTATTATTATTATTATTATTATTATTATTATTATTATTATTATTATTATTATTCTCTCCAATGAATCGCGATTTAGAGGGGCTAAACATGCCCGAAAACTCACGCAACTTTGCACACGCCTCAGAAGTGGCGAAAATTTACGTTTATTATGGGTCTCGGAAGTGGGTGTGGCAAAATGACTCGACAGCGCCACCTAGAAAAATTAAACGGACGAGCCCCCGATCCACGAATCACACACACGCACGAAAATTGGCACACACCTCAAACACACCAAAACATACGAAAAAGTCTCTTGCAGCCATATCTCAAACCCAACAGGAAGTCGGATATTTTTGACTTCCTGCGGCGA